GATTTTAGTTGTCATTGTCTCAAGCACTGTGGCTTTTATTTGTTTGTTGTTTCACTTCTTACACAAATCTCTATTGAGCTCGTACATGGTCTAGATATTCTTCCAGACAACTCAGGGAGCTCACAATTGAGTGAAAGCACCAGAGACCAACAAAGCGTTATAAAGCACATGCCCAGCCCGGCCAGTGTGGCTCAGTGGTTGAGTGTCAACCCACGAACCTAGAAGTCGCTGGTTCGATTCCTGGTCATGGCACATGCCCAGGTTCTGGGCCAGATCTCCAGTGGGGGGCAGTCAATGTTCTCTCTCATCGATGTTTCTCTCTCTCTCTCTCTCTCCCACTTCCTCTCTCTTTAAAATCAATAAAGAAAAAAAATGTTTTAAAAAGCACATGCCCCATGTACTGAAGAGTGTACATACAAGTGGGAGAGGATAGAAGGGACCCACCAACCTGCCTGGGAGGACTCTTGAGGACGAGATGCACAGTGTGAGGAAGAGTTCAATGAGGGGTGAAGGTCAAGATTTGGGGGAGTAGAGAAATGACAGGGAGGGATAATGTTTCAGACAAAGGAGATCATATGAACAAAGTCATAAAAGCAAAAAACAATACTGTGTTTATTCACTACAAGTGGCTTAGTGCCCCAGAGGCAGCAGGATTTGAATCCTGCTCTCTGCTATTTATTAATTCTGTGACCTTTGGTACATCAATTACTCTCCCTGTGTCTCTGTTTCTTCAGCTCTAAAGCGGGGGTGATAATAACACCTACTTCATAGTATTGTTTTGAAGATCAACATCACGCACTTAGCACTGTGCGGGGCGTGTGGTGAGAATGATGCCAGCTCTCTTCATTATGCCGTGAATGACAGAGCATGTAATCGGGCTGGAAGATTGGGTAATAGTCAAATCTTGCAGGTTTTGTCTGGCAGAACAGAAGGAGCTTTGGTTTCACATTATGAGTAATACAGTATCAAGAAAATATTTTAAGTGGGGAAATTATATGAGAGAGTTTGTGGTTTTGCTACATCACTTTGGTTTCATAGAAGAAAGAACCGAAGGGAAGAAGTGGACACAGACCAATCAATGGGTTGTTGCATTAATGGAGGCCTGAATTAAGATAATGATAGCAGTGATGGGCAGGAAAAGTGATAAAATAAATATTTAAGAGGTTAAATCTGCAGAACTTTATTGATTGGGTATGATGGATTACATAGCTACAAAGACATTAAAAAATCAATTCAAATTTTAAGTAAGGCCGATGAGAAAATAACATCGTATATGTTGACAGATGAGTATCTTTAAGGAAACTGCTTCATTTGTTTATTACAACTCAAAGGCAAGATTAAAAATATTACTGTGGCCTCACTAAGAAAGACACTTTCTATTAACATTTTCAAATCCATCCTAATTGGTAATGATTTTTCAGATTTCTAAAAATCATAGATATCCTAGTAATAGATCAAAGATTCTGTATCCATTCATAATTCCAAGTATGTGTCTGACTCCCTTCCTGATAATGTCTGTTGATATGTTTGTGGTTGATTTGCTTCATTGATCTTATTGCTTTGTGTCATTTCGTATTTCGTCCCCCTCTCATTATTGGTTTATACTTTCAGATCACTGTGTTCACTTGCCTATTGCATTCCAGAAATCTTTTCAGACAACAATCTCCCATTTGGCTTGTGTCAGATAATTTTACACTGTGTCTCCATGAACAGATGTGCATACAAAAAAAAAATTTTTTTTTTATCCTCACCCAAGGACATTTTTCCATTTTTTGTTCAGATAGAGTGGGAAGGAGGGAGAGGAAGAGAGAGAGAGAGAAACATCCACGTGAAAGGGACACATCGAGTGGCTGCCTCCCGTACAACCCAACCAGGGCCGGGGACAAACTGCAATCGAGGTATGTGCCCTTAGCGGGAACCGAACCCCGGTCTCTCTGGACCACAGTCTGACTCTAACCGCTGATTCAAACTGGCCAGGGCTGCATGCAAAAATTTTAATACATATTTTGAGTTCCCTAACATAGTGAATCACTTTGAAAAATTCATGTCTTTATTTTTTTTCTGTTTGTTATCCAAAATGATTTTGCTTATTTGAAGAAGAAAAGCTCATAGATCTCTGTTTTTAAATGAATTCTGCTGTTCCATGATCAAGCACAAGGGAAATACCTGCCCAGCAGAGGCCTCTGGGACGTGGCTACAGTAGTATGGCCACTTTAATTGGTCAGTGCCAGTGCCATTTTGGTTGTTAAGTGTTTTTAATATCATATTTACTTGTACTCATGGTGTAGGATCTTCTCCACAGAATAATTTTGTTTTAGTAAGAAGAGGTTTATCTTAACCAGTTGTTTTATTGGATTCTTTAAGTCATACTCTTCCTGTAATCTTCAGACTTTTTCATTCATAAATAAACGAGTATTACTGAAAAACACTGAGAGTAGTTTTTGACAGTAGAGTAAGGTGAGTAAAATCTACTTTTTAGGGAAATAAATTTTCATCTCATAAATTTTTTCAGAGAATTAAATGGTTCTGCAATACAGAAGCATTTGCAGATATAGAGTCCCTGATAGCGGCACATATTATTTTTTAAAAAGCTTAGAAAATTGAGTTATTAAGTATATATATGTATGTATATGTATGTATATATATGTAAGTATATTGCTTTTAGTATCTGATCTAATATTGTTTCTGTAACTACTGGCCCTTTGTTACACCCTACTGGAGCTGGTAAAAAAATAATAATAATGTCAGTGTTCGCTTCTCAAACAGGTCTCTTCTTTCCTGCTTTACTCAGCTCTACAACCTTTTTCAAGATAAGAAGTTTCTCATAGTTTTCTACTTAGAAGATCTATAACGCTACTATTTGTATTAAACTTATTTATTTTTGTTACAGATGTTTCTCCTTCCCCCCCATTGACAACCTCCTCCCAATCCCACTCCCCGCACGCCAGCATTATTGCCTGTGCCCTTGTTTATGCATACATGTGTGTGAGTTCTGTGGTTTATCTCTTCCCTCCTCCCATGTCCACCTTTTCTGAGGTTTGTCAGTCTGCACCCCACTTCCACGTCTCTGGGTCTATTTCATTCCTCAGCTTGTTTTGTTCATTATATTCCACAAATAAGTGAGATCATGTGATATTTGTCTTTCTCTGCTTGGCTTGTTTCGCTTAGGATGATACTTTCCAGGTCCTTCCATGTTCTCTCAAAGGATAAGAGATCTTTCTTTCTTACAGCTGCATAGTATTCCATTGTGTATATGTACCACTGCTTTTTTATCCACTCATCTATTGATGGACACTTGGGCTGTTTCCAGATTGTAAATAGTGCTGCTATGAACATAGGGGTACATATATTCTTTCTGATTGGTGTTTCAGGCTTCTTAGGGTATATTCCTAGAAGTGGGATCACTGGGTCAAATGGAAGTTCAATTTGTAATTTTTTGAGGAAACACCATATTGTTTACCATAGTGGCTGCACCAGTCTGCATTCCCACTAGCAGTGTACTAGAGTCCCCTTTTCTCCACACCCTCGCCAACACTTGTTGTTTGAAGATTTGTTGATGGCAGCCATTCTGGAGGTGTAAGGTGATGCCTCATAGTTGTTATAATTTGCATCTCTCTGATGATTAGTGATGTTGAGCATTTTTTCATATGTCTCTTGGCCATTTGTATGTCCTGTTTGGAGAGCTGTCTCTTTAGGTCCTCTGCCCATTTTTTAATTGGGTTCTTTGTCTTCCTTTTGTTGAGTTGTATGAGTACTCTATATATTCTGGAAATTAACCCCTTATTTGATGTATAATTGGCAATTATGCTCTCCCATATAGTGGGTTCCCTTTCCATTTTGATGCTTGTTTTTTGTTTGTTTGTTTGTTTTTGCTGTGCAAAAGTTTTTTAGTTAGATGTAGTCTCCTGTGTTCATTTTGTTGTTGTTGTTTCTATTGCCTATTGGCATGGTATCAGTGAAAATTCTGCTGTGTGTGATGTCTGAAATTTTGTTGCCTACATTTTCTTCTAGGAGTTATATGGATTCATGGGTCACATATAAGTCTTTTATCTATTTTGAGTTTATTCTTGTGTATGGTGTAAGTTGGTGGTCTAGCTTCATTTTTTTGCATGTAGCTATCCAATTTTCCCAACATAATTTATTGAAGAGACTGTCTTTACTCCACTGTATGCTATTGCCACCTTTGTCAAATATTAATTGAGCATAATGACTTGGGTCAATTTCTGAGTTCTCTGTTCTGTTCTATTGATTTATAAGCCTGTTCTTGTGCCAGAACCAGGCTGTTTTGATCACTGTGGCTTTGTAGTATAACCTGATATCCAGTATTGTGATCTCTCCTACTTTGTTCTTCTTTTTCAAGATTGCTATAGCTATTCGGGGTCTTTTTTGGTTCCATATAAACTTTTGGAGTATTTGATCTAGTTCTGTGAAATATCTCATTGGTATTTTGATGGGGATTGCATTGAATCTATAGATTGCTTTGGGTAGTATGGACATTTTTATGATGTTAATTCATCCAATCTATGAACAAGGTATATGATTCCACTTTTTTATATCTTCCTCTATTCTTTTTTCAGTGACCTGTAGTTTTCTGCAAATACGTCCTTCTTTGGTTAAGTTTATTCCTAGGTATCTTAATTTTTTTGCTGCAACAGTAAATGGGGTTGCTTTTTTAGTTTCTCTTTCATTGAGTTCGTTGTTGTTGTACAAGAATGTCATTGATTTTTTTATGTTAACTTTGTATCCTGCTACTTTGCCAAATTCATTTATTAAATCTGGAAGATTTTTGATGGAGTCTTTAGGGTTTTCTATGTACAGTATCATGTAATCTGCAAATAATGACAGTTTCACTTCCTCCTTTCCAATTTGGATTCCTTTTATGTTTTCTTCATGTCTAATAGCTGTGGTTAAGACTTCCAGTACTATGTTAAATAAGAGTGGTGAGAGTGAGCATCCCTGTCTGGTTCCTGTTTATTTTGAATGTTTCTTATATCCTGCAGGTATTCTTGGCGTCACCAGCTAAGGGAATTTAAAAGTGAATACCGAGTTGTAGCCTTGGATTTGAGAGGCTATGGAGAAACAGATGCTCCCATTCATCGAGAAAATTATAAACTGGACTGTCTAATTACAGATATAAAGGACATTTTAGACTCTTTAGGTAGGTTACTTTAAAAAAGTATTTTTCTTTTTAAAAGACTATCATTCAAGAAATTGTGAATTGATAACCTCATTTCTTGGGACAATGCATTTTTCACCTACCTAGGTTATTATCTGGATCCTGTCACCATGGTTTTGGGAATACAGACCAAAATATTTATAGTGGGAATTTAAAATAATACATTCAGAATAATTATTCAATCCACTGCCAAGAATGACTTTTAAAATTTGTTTTAAAAATAGACCTAATGTTACTATTTATTATTTTTCAGAACTAATTATTAGAAATTTGAGTCTTAGACTCAGAAAATTTGTCTTCAGAACCCACACTTAAATATTCATTTAAAAATGTTACAAGGCGCAGAAGCACTTGAATTATCTTACTTGATTGATTAGTTAGTGCCACCCCAAACTCAATGACATACAGCCATACCTATTTATTCCTATGGTCATGAATCTGCAGGTCAACTGTAGGCTGAACACCTCTGGGTTTTTTACTCAGGCTGACTTGTAGGTCCAGCTAGGACTGGCTTCTCACTGTGAGTTGGGCTGGAGCCCAAGCTAAAGGGGAGTAGCTACCTGGGGAAGCGTTTTTCCTGGCAGTGGTAGAAATGGCAAGAGGGTGAGCTCAGCTGCACAGGCATATTTCGGGTCTACTCTCAGCCCATTGGCCAAAACAAATCGTATGGCTGAGCCCACAGTCAAGTCAAATACCCATCACAAGAGCACAGCAAATCATATGGTCCAGTCTAACATCAAAGGAGCAGCAGAGTATACTCCTTTTGTGGCAGTGGGGAGAGGGGAAGAGTGAATTGTATTTTAACAACAATCTAATCCACTGCATCCCTTTTGACTAAAACCCAGCTGTTACCATCAGTATGTTAATGGAGACAATATAGTGAGAAATCCATGAAATCAAATTAAAGGCCCTTTCTACAATAATCTAATCAGAGTATATATCATCAGGCCAGTATTCTTAGAAGAGAAAAAAATGGGTGAGTCTGGCAGTGTCAATGCAGTGTTGTCATTTAGTCTGACTGCAATAAAACAGACTCAGAGACACTGATTTCTGACAGCCATATTTCATTTATATTTTGTGGTAATGCAGTCAGACCTGGCCTAAATTTGTCATCATGCAATTTTCTAGTCATATCAATATTATAAACCAGATGTTTATATGTGTGTTGTGTGTTAGTATAGTGGTGGGGTAGTGGAGAAAAATACTTACTTGAAAAAATTAATTTTAAGGACTGTAGGAATAAATTTCAAATTAATCTTATCCATCCATACAAAGGAAATCCTGTAGAAATCACTAGTAATAAATATTTTATAATTCAAATTTCCATAATGATTACATGAAATGAAACATGTATGTTTTTGGTACTATAATTAAGACTTTCCACTAATTCAGTTTGATTTCACAGTTCCAAATACATGATGTTTTACTGTGTAGAGTTGTAACATTGATTTTGTGAAGTTAGGGAGAAAATAGATGCTTCTTTGACATAAAGATGTACCAAGTGGACATAGATGGGACATTTTATGATTTTACTGTAACTAGAAATTTTTTAGCATTCAAAAATAACTCAAATAATCTTGCTTATGACCTAATTATGTGTAATCTTAATCATGGTTTCCAAACTATTTCAGATTAAAATATATTTATATTCCTGGGACAGATTCTGAATTTGTAGGTCTAGAGTAGAAGCCAGGCATCTCAATTCTCTAAAAACCTACCTAGGTGATTTGAACATACAGGTTTGGGAAATACCAAACTCAATATCTGCACAAAGTGCATAATTGGGATAGAATAGTGGAAAGATTAGTTTCAGAAGTGAACTTATTTTATGTGTTAATGATGCACCCACCTGTTTCTTTTCAATGATGTCAACATTTGCTTCTTCATTTCAGGGTATAGCAAATGTGATCTTATCGGCCATGACTGGGGGGGCATGATTGCTTGGCTAATTGCCATCTGTTATCCTGAAATGGTGATGAAGCTTATTGTTATTAACTTCCCTCATCCAAATGTATTTACAGGTGAGTTTAAATTTTCATTAAAGAATCTTTGCCAACATGACAATTCACTACTGTCACACTTTGGATTAAAAACAGCAAATTTTGATTAACATAAGATTTTAAAAATTAAATGACTAAAATATATTATTAGCACATGACAATGTGCTTTAAATATTTAAAGAGTCTAAGAAACTGTAGCTTCATACTTGCTTGCATAATTTTATTTCTTTTTAGAAAACATTTTACTGCTAACTTGGGGAGGGATTAAGGGAAAATGCAGTAACATTACTTCAATGGTAATAGGTCTTGACAGCCTAGAAATAAATTCTCCTCTTGCCTGACAGCTTTGACTATCAGGAATGGCAGTATTTTTTTAAAGCAGCAGTTCTCAAATTTTTGGTCAAAGGACTTCTTTATATCTTAAAAGATCCATTGAGCTTTTGTTTATATGGGTTATATCTATAAATGTTCATTGTATTGGTAATTTAAAATGGGACATTTTAAAAATTTTATGTATAAATTTATCTAAAAAATAACAACTCCAGTACATGTTAACATAAATAACATTTTTTTTTTATTCTCACCTGAGGACATTTTTCAATTTTTTGTTCAGATAGAATAGAGGGAGAGAGAGAAACATCGTTGTGAAAGGGACACATCGAGTGGCTGCCACCCACACGACCAACCAGGGCCAGGGACAAACTGCAACGTATGTGCCCTTAGCGGGAACCGAACCCAGGTCTCTCTGGACCGCAGCCCGACGCTCTAACTGCTGAACCAAACTGGCCAGGGCATAATATAAATAACATTTTAATGAAAACTAGCTACATCTTTCAAAACAAAATTTTAGTGAGAATAGTGTCATTATTTTACATATTTGCAAACCTCTTTGATATTTGGCTTAATAGAAGGCAGCTGGATTCTCAGATCTGCTTCTGCATTCAATCTTTTGCAATATGTTGTCTGAATTGAAATATATGAGGAAATCTGGTCTCACACAGCTTTGTAATTGGAAAAGGGAGGACTATTTTAATAGCCTTTTCAGATAACTGTGAATTTTCTTTTTTAACACTACATCAAACTAAAAAATTGGTGGTTTCTTAAAGGTTAATAACAATATGAAATCTAATGTCATGTTAATGAACTTTTTGTACTCTGTTAGGATAAAATCCATTATCTCTAGCACTTTGAATGGCTTTTTCTACCCATGTATGCTTTTGCATCATCATGCATGGGAAGATATTGGTTGAGTTATGCAGATCTTCCATAGTTTGACACATTTCATTATGATATCAAAGAATTACATTAATTAATACCACCCCAATTTTATTTTTTTTTAAAAAGCCATTAAGTGTCCCAAAGGCGTCAAGCTCACAACAGCCAATACGAGTTTGCAAAATTCTAATTTTCAGTTGAAAGTTTGAATTTTATCTTTGGCAACAAATATCTGTTGATTGTTTTCCCTCAAGTGAAAGGCTTGCTTTATTCATTTTCAAGAGTCAGTCTGCAAATACCTAGGTCTGACTGATAATAGTTTGTTAGTCATCCTTTCAAGTAAAAATGGCTCTCCATAAAAAATGCAGCTAATTCAACGTATCAACTCAAACAATTGCAGAAGTGCTTGTCCTTGCTTGTCCTTGAGACAACCATTGTATTGGGGTATGCAACGGGACTGCTTTGTGTGTACTTGCTATTTCATCACAATGCTAAAAAGCCAGGTACTCAAAGGTTGAAATGTAATAAAATTAATTAGTTTTGCTGTTTCATCAAGAACATTCTTAAGTGAAACTGGCATTTAGTTTTATGTATTTATTTGTTTATTGCAAGTGTGTGGTAGTGTACAATGTAATGACTCCTCATACTGTTTAGTGTCACTGCCTTGATCTGTGCTCAGGCAACAGTGGTTTTATCTACCATTGCTTTTGTACTATCAGTGCAAATGTCAACCAAATGAGAAAAGCTAATAATGTCTTAGTTTTGTTATAAAATAGTTTGACCATCTGGATTCTTCAAAAGGATCTTCGGGATCCCCAGGGGTGTACATGGACTACACTTTGAGAACCTCTGCTATAAAGGGAATTCATAAAATCATAAAAGTGATTAAAGACCTGTCAACCATGGGTAGGACTCCTTTTTTTTTTTCATTCTCACCTGAGGATATTTTTGTATTGATTTTTTTTTTAGAGAGAGAGGAAGGGAGAGAGAGAGACATCAATTGGTTGCCTCCCACATGACCCTGATCAGGGCCGGAAATTGAACCTGCAACCTAGGTACGCGTCCTTGACCAGGAATTGAACCCGTGACTTCAGTCCACGGGCTGATGCTACCGCTGAGCCAAAACGGCCAGGGCAGGTAGGAACATTTTTATTTGGTTTTGGCAGAAATTATCACGTTGTCCTCTTTAATTAGCTTTGTCAAGTTTTCTGGGGTTCAGGTACTGCTACAACTCACAGCAGCCTTTGGGGAACAAAAAATTCAGAACATATTTCTGTTTCTTCCTTAAAATTGAGCAGGTGATGGATAAAGGGACCATGACTATCTAAATATTTTATATTATGAGAGCCAAATTTTAGATACATATCCAATTGGTCTACTTCTATTGAGGCAATAGGATAAATGCCTAGGATTCAGATATCAAACTGAGATCATCGTGTTTTTCTCAGTTCCATGAGTCAGCAGAACTCAGGCTACGTGCTTGTTCAATTGATCAGGAACCCAGGGTAAATGTTATTTTGGACAAACTGTAATTGGTCATTTCAGCATAAACATACTTGGACTGTTTCTGAAACTATTTTATCAATGGGTTCAACCCTAGTCAGGTCAATATGAGGTCGTCAAGGAATACGCTTATAATTGTATTCATATCTCTTAATGCAGGGCTGGAAAAATCTTGTTCAATGATGACAATGCTCCACTTACCTGAGAATATGCACATTTAATATGTATGATTTTATTACTTCCCAGTTTAAAAATTAAGTGTCTTCTCAAAGCATTTTAAATCCTTATCAATGTTGGTCCTACCCGCCCAGGCTTCTGCTTTTCTTCCTGGCTCCTTTCATACCATCTCCTTCTCCTCATTCACTACATACCTGCCACATTAGCCTTCTTTCTGCTTCTTGAATATGCCGGGCCCTGGATCTACTTTATGTTTCTGGGTGCTCTTCCTAGATCTTTGCATGGTTGATTCCTTCTTACCATTCAGGACTCAGCCCAGAGAAGCCTATTCTGACAACCCTACTAAAACAACAGTCCCCCATACCACCCAAACATCACTCTTAATCAGATTGCCTTGTTTTGTTTTCTTTATGGTATTATTGCTACCAAAATGATCTCTTAAGTATTGGTTACTTATTTATTGTGTAAGTTAATGAGAACATCTTTTGTCTTACTCACTGCTAAATCCCCTTAAATACAGAAAATATTCATTGAATGAATGAATTTGCTGGATACATGAGTGAATTTATAGAAAACACTTCCTGCCCTGGCCAGTTTGGCTCAGCGGTTAGAGCGTCAGCCTGCGGTCCGGAGAGACCCGGGTTCGGTTCCCGCTAAGGGCACGTACTTCGGTTGCAGTTTGTCCCCGGCCCTGGTTGGTCATGTGGGTGGCAGCCACTCGATGTGTCCCTTCACGTCGATGTTTCTCACTCTCTCTCCCTTCTTCTCTCTCCCTCCCACTCTATCTGTACAAAAAATGGTAAAATGTCCTCGGTTGAGGATAAAGAAAAAAAAAAGAAAACACTTCCTTTTCTGTTGAGGACAAATGGATAAGGTATTCAAATCAACCAATACAGAAAATCTTTTAAACAATAAAAAACTATCTCCCTCTGTATCCCTAGGAAAAGTATCAGGTTACTGATAATGACCTTAAAAGAATGGCAGTGTTGTTTAGGTTTCCTGTTCCTTTCTGAGTCAAGACTTTATAAAGTGGAATTTTCTTCGTATTTAAAGTGCTATAAATTTTCTAAATACCATAAATATTCATAATAAAATATAAGAACATAGAAATTGTTTCAAAGAGAACTACATAGAAATCCTTATTTGTGGATTCTTTTATGGGATCATCTTAAATGTGAAATTGCCTTAACAAGAAGTTCTCTCAATAGTACCTAATTCCTTGGATGAGGTCTAACATGGCATTTTAATTTCAGAATATATTTTACGACACCCTGCTCAGCTGTTCAAATCCAGCTATTATTACTTCTTCCAAATACCATGGTTCCCAGAATTTATGTTCTCAATAAATGATTTCAAGGTAAGTCATATGTAATGATGGATGTTAATCAGTGCTTATTACAGTGATCATTTTGCAATGTATACAATATAAAATTATTATGCTGTACACCTGAAGCTACTACTAATATTATAAGACAATTATACCTCAATGAAAAAAAAAAAAAGACTGGTGCCTCAAGATGATGACAAAATTAGGAAGTTAAAAATAAAGAGACTGAAGCACTAAGAAAAAAACAACAACCTGGTCCTATTTATGTGGTTTTGCTTTGTTTTAAATAATTAGTTATTATACAACTGTTAGATGCTGTGCACAGTTAGGCATTTCCTCTTATGCAAAAAAGATTTTTTAATTAAAGTCCATTCTTAAGAAAGAAAAATAGACAAATACTAAAATGCTCTTAAGACCTCATCTATAGTATTACTTATCTTTTAAATCTATGTTTGTATATTTGAGTGCCTGGATGTTGTTGCTTTTAAGAGCGTGTGCCCCTAAAGTAATACCTCGTTTTAGAAAACACCCCACGGGGAGGTGAGGAAACATGAACTCCAGGTGAGAGAGTTTGAGAGCAGAAGTGGAAGCCCTTGGAGCTCAGCAAAACGCTGAAACAAAGTAAGCTGCAGGCACTGGTGTAGTAAACACTGACACCAGGAGTCATATGTAGCATCTATTTTTTGGAAGTTTGTTGAATCCCCCTTGTATGTCCAACACGGCGTTAGGTATTTAGGGAGGTTAAAAAACAGACAATATTATTTTACTTGAAAATACTTCTGGCCCTTTCCGGCGTCCGAGACGTCGAAGCGAGGACGTGGTGGGTCCTCCGGGGCGAAATTCGGGATTTCCCTTGGTCTTCGGGTAGGAGCTGTGATCAACTGTGCTGACAACACAGGAGCCAAAAATCTGTGTATCATCTCTGTGAAGGGGATCAAGGGACGACTGAACAGACTTCCTGCTGCTGGTGTGGTGACATAGTGATGGCCACAGTCAAAAAAGGCAAACCAGAGCTCAGAAAGAAGATACCTCCAGGGTGGTAATTCGACAATGAAAGTCATACGGAGAAAAGATGGCGTGTTTCTTTATTTTGAAGATAATGCGGGGCTCATAGTAAACAATAAAGGCAAGATGAAAGGTTCTGCCATCACAGGACCAGTTGCAAAGGAGTGTGCAGATTTGTGGCCCAGCATTGCATGGGATGCTGGCGGTATTGCATGATTCTCCAGTGTATTTGTAAAGAAAAAAAAAATCCATTAAAAATTATCCCCCCCCCAAAAAAAGAAAATACTTCTGCATATATCTCTGACAAATAAGGATTTTTTTTTTTCCACATAACCCCAATGCCATTAACAAACCTACAAAAATGAATAATTCTGTAATATCATGTCATACCAATTTAAATTTCCTTGCTTTCTCAACTGTCTTTATATTTCATTTGTTTGAATCAGGAACTAAACATTGTATTTGGTTGTGATGGCTTTTTAAATACAGCAGTTCCTTCTTTCTTTTTTAATTTTTAAAACAAAACAAACAAAATCCCCCGGAAGATTAGACTATGTAAGATCTTACTTAAATTTTAAATTTTAGTATATTAGATGTTTCTTGAATGGATTGTCTCCTCAGTCATTATTTATAGGACTCTGAGAAGCCATAGGAGTGCTCAGGCACAGACTCAAGGGACTGGCTTGTCTCCAGTGCTATGGAAAGGGATTGTGCATCATGGGACAGAGCCTTATGCTCCCCTGTGCCTCCTGGACGAGCCTGGAAGAGTAACCTCCCAGGGGTATCCACATTGGGTTTCTGTTGTTTAACACAACTTTAAAAAAAAAAAAGACAATTTATTTATTTATTTATTTATTTATTTATTTATTTATTTATTTATTTATTTATTTATTTATTTTTATCCTCACCCGAGGATATTTTTCCATTTTTTGTACAGATAGAGTGGGAGGGAGAGAGAGGAAGGGAGAGAGAGAGAGAAACATCGATGTGAAGGGACACATCGAGAGGCTGCCACCCGCACGACCAACCAGGGCCGGGGACAAACTGCAACCGAAGTACGTGCCCTTAGCGGGAACCAAACCCGGGTCTCTCCGGACCGCAGGCCGACGCTCTAACCGCTAAGCCAAACTGGCCAGGGCAAAAGACAATTTATTTAAAGTTAATATTAAAAAATAAACAAGGAAATGTTTCAACAGGAGCCAAATAATTTTTTTATAGGAGGCATTTAGTCATTTGTCCTGAGGAATGATCTACATTTTGAATTTGGCTGACTTCTTCATTGTGGTGTTATTTAACCTATTCTGCTAACTCATGTTCCTTCTACTTAATAGATGTTTCTGATTTAGAGGCTTGATTAGACTGTTTTAATTTAATAAGAATAGGTTATAACTGGTACTATGTTTCCTAATGTAACACATCAGGGAAGTACATACTGTCTAGTTGCCTCAGTTTTAATAATGCCAGCACCGACCAGTGGGCTCACAAGTTGTCAGATACTTGAAAATTTCCTAACAACCTTTCACCAACTAATTTTAGCATAACTTGATTATCATTGCCTAGGTCCATTGTTTCATTAGGGTGTGCAAAATGGTGAATTTCTAATTCTATCATATTTTCTGCTTTTATTAACTTGAATTCTTCTATAAAGAAGAATTTTCCACATGTATTAATTCAGTTATTCTGAAATACAGTTCACACGAGAATGGCAGGATAAATGCTTCTTTCTCCTTTTATTAAACAAATTCCCAGAGTAATGAGTTGGTGCCTAAGATACCTCTCTAATAGTGACTAATGAAGGTTTTTTCGTGTCATTATGAGCTCATGAAATTGTTTTTTAAATATTTGACATATATTCATCAATTATAGTCATTATTTTTGGTGCCCAAATTATCCCATTTTAGGAAAGTGGGAACCCTCTCAGGTTGGCTCCTGTGTCCTTCTGACAGAAGCACGTTAGTCAGTGATAGCCTGCTTCCTTAATGACCTAGGCTATCTTTTATTTTCTGTCCCAGACTTGGAAGCAGTCATTTATCAAAGGAACCCTCACTTCTATTAATAGGAAATGGTATTTAGAGACCACAATCTGGGTGTCCAGATGATTATTGTTTTACTGGGTTTTCATTGCTTCTAGATCTTTCCATTGGACCAAATTTGGACACACATATATTTTAGAAAGAAAAACAATCATGATTTCTTACTCATGTTTCCAAAGCAAATTTAAGACTACATTGTTTTTACTTAACTTCTACTATTTTTTATAAAACATTTATATGGCCTCAAGTCAAAACTCTAAAGCAAGGTAGATTCAGAGAGGTCTCACTTACACCTGTTTCCTCTGTTTCTCTGTTTCCTCCCTATCCCATAAAAGTCATTTTAATTAGTTTTTGTTTCATCATTTTATTCTTTCTTTTTAAAAATATAAATATATTTGTTTGCCCCTTCTTACACAAACTGTTTCCCATCCTTGCTTTTCTTCTCTTAATATCCTGGAGATCACTCCATTTCAGCACATAGATTGACTTTTCTTTTTCTTTTTTCTTACCCAAGGATATTTGTCCATTTATGTCCAGGAAATTTGGGAGTGAGAGAGAGAGAAACATCAGCGTGAGAGAGACACATAGACTGGTTGCCTCCTACACGACCCACACCGGGGCGAGGACAAACCGCAACTGAGGCACGAGCCCTTGGCGGGAATCATACCCGAGACCCATTGGTTTGCAGGCTGATGCTCTATCACTGAGCCAACCCGGCCAGAGCTAACTTTTCTTGAAGTACTAAGAACACATAATACACAATTGTTTGGCTAAACCATAGTTTATGCAACTCATCTTCCACTGATGGACATTTGATTTGTTTCTAGTCTGTTTTATTATTATTATTATTATTATTATTATTACAGATAATGTTGCAGTTAATCACCTAAAGTGTATGCCATTTCATATTTTTGCAAGTGTGTTTGGGTTGAGGGATCTGAATTTTAAACAAAATAATTCTGATGCAGGTGGCTTAGATCCATACTTTGAGAAATGCTGGTATAGAGCAGTGTTTTTTCAGGTTGTGGGTGAGGATCCATTAGTGAATCATGAAATCAATTTAGTGGCTTGCAGTGTGAATTTTTAAAAATAAAGTAGAGCAGAATTGAATGGAAAATATCAGGGCACACTATAATAAGAATAAGAAGTCGTTATTTAAGTTTTTGTTTCAGAAATATATATGTAAAAGTATGAACTGGATCGTGATGTAAAATGTGTCTATTACTCTGGGTTGTGATAAAAAAAAAATTCAAACAACTTTGGGGAGAGAATTGGTTGTCACTAAACGGATGAGTTACTGTTAGCTGGAATATTGCAGAAGATTTGACGGTTGGGGTAGTAGTTGAGCTTGGCCTTATAGAATGTGAATTGGCAACAAGGAGACAGGATGCTTTTCATAAAGGTGAAGTGTGCATGGGGGGTTAGAAGGAGTATCAGAAGTATGGCCAGTAAAGCAGAGATGTTTAAAATGTGTTGGTAAATAATGAGGTCTCCGACCTTTATAGAGCAGAAATGAGGAGCTGTCAATGCATACTGACCATTATTTTCTTTCAAAAGCCGAAGATCTAGTTTGTTATTAGGTAATGGAAAAGTTTTAATTATTCTCTTTTCACTTAAATTAGGCTTTGAAACACTTGTTCACCAGTCACAGCACCGGCATGGGAAGAAAAGGATGTCGGTTAACAACAGAAGATCTTGAAGCTTATATTTATGTATTTTCCCAGCCTGGAGCATTAAGTGGTCCAATTAACCATTATCGAAATATCTTCAGGTCAGTATAATTTTTTTTTTTTTAGTTAAATAAAAAATCATTCCCAAAAGAGCCAGTACTCTATTTTTTTTTTCTGAGTCATAAAGCAGTTCCATTTTTTATTTTATTTTATTTTATTTTATTTTATTTTATTTTATTTTTTTTATCATCCTCACCCGAGGACATTTTTCCATTTTTTGTTCAGGTAGAGTGGGAGGGAGAGAGAGGAAGAGAGAGAGAGAGAGAGAAACATCGATGTGAAGGGACACATCGAGTGGTCGCCACCCGCACAACCAACCAGGGCCGGGGACAAACTGCAACCGAGGTACGTGCCCTTAGCGGGAACCGAACCCGGGTCTCTCCGGATCGCAGGCCGACGCTCTAACCGCTGAGCCAAACCGGCCAGGGCCCATTTTTTATTTTTTGAGGAATTGCCATACTGTTTTCCATATGGTTGTACCAATCTGCATTCCCAGGAACAGTGCATGAGGGTTCCATTTTCTCGACATCCTCTCCAACACTTATTTGTTGATTTATTGATGATGGCCATTCTGACAGGTGTGAGGTGATATCTCATTGTGGTTTTAATCTGCATTTCTATGATGATTAGTGACACTGAGCATCTCTCTCTTTTTTTTTTTAATCCTCACCCGAGGACATTTTTTGACATTTTGTTCAGATAGAGTAGGAGGGAGAGAGAGAGAGAGAAACATCGACTTGAAAGGGACACATCAAGCGGTTGCCACCCGCATGACCCAACCAGGGCTGGGGACAAACTGCAACCGAGGTACATGCCCTTGGCGGGAACCGAACCCGGGTCTCTCCCGACCGCAGGCCAATGCTCCAACCGCTGAGCCAAACCGGCCAGGGCGAGCATCTTTTTATATGTCTACTGGCCATCTGTATGTCCTCTTTGGAGAAGCGTCTATTTAGGTTCTCTGCCTACATTGGATTGTTTGAGTTTCTTTGGTGTTGAGTTATATGAATTCTTTATAAATTTTGAATGTTAATCCCTTATCAGATATATCATTGGTGAATATTTTCTCCCATTTAATAGGTTGTCTTTTCATTTTTTTTGATGGTTTCCTTTGCTGTGCAAAAACTTTTTAGTTGATGTAGTCTGATTTATTAATTTTTTCTTGTGTTTCCCTTGCCTGGGTTGCAGGTTTGATCCCTGGCAGGTTGGGATTGTGTGGGAGGCAAGCAATCCATGTGCCTCTCAATACTCTATTTTTTTTTTTTTTTTTTAATCCTCATCCGAGGACATTTTTCCATTTTTTGTACAGACAGAGTGGGAGGGAGAGAGAGGAAGAGAGAGAGAGGGAAACATCGATGTGAAAGGGACACATCGAGTGGCCGCCACCTGCACGACCAACCAGGGCCGGGGACAAACCGCAACCGAGGTACATGCCCTTAGCGGAAACCGAACCCGGGTCTCTCCGGACCGCAGGCCGACGCTCTAACCGCTGAGCCAAACTGGCCAGGGCTCAATACTCTATTTTTAATATTAAGTTCACCACTTATCAAACTCAAATAAAGTATTTTGATTTAGTAAGTTGAATAATCTTTTTTATGGAAAATTTCAAACATATGGAAAATCAGAGAGAATAGTGTAATGGATCCCAGTATAGTTGTCACTAGTCTTATCCATAACTGTTCACTTCACCTCTCCCTTTAGATTATTTGAATAGATGTATATCTTAGTTATAATTTTCATAATCATTTATTCATTCAATAAACATTTATTAAGCATTCTTTGTGTTATGGCTATGCCAGAACTCAGGGCATAATAATGAATAGAACTAGACAAGGTCCCTGATCTCACAAAACTTATAGCCAAGAGGGGAAAACAGACGTCAAGCAAATAATCACATTAATGAATATATGGTTATAAACTAACATAAAGACTTGGAAAGAAAGGAATGAGAACTGAAGAAATAATGTTTGAACAAAGAAATAAAGGATGAGTTACGTATTGACTAGACCGGGTTCAGGGTAGGGGAACTGGCATTCCAGAAAAAGGAAATAGCTTGTACCGAAGCTATGTGGGGAGGTGGAGGGTTGTGGTTTTAAGTAACACAATGCGGGCCAATGTGGCTGGAGTATAGAAAGTGACAATGGGAAGAAGAGAATGGAATGAGACTGGATCGGAGAGGTAGGCAGCATTGGTCACACAAAGTCAAGTAGACCATATTAAGGACCTAAGAGCCATGAATGCAAAGCCAGTGAAGGAGGGTTTCAAGCAGAAAAGAAACAATCCAATTTGCATTTGGTAAATTCACTCATTGTGAGAATATATTGGAGAAATGAATTTGGGAAACCAGTGAGCTAAAGATGATGGTAGTTTGAACTACACTGAAAGCAGTGGAGATGGGGAGAGTGGGTAGATTTAAGAGATATTTAAGCCCCCTGATGTGGCTCATTAGTTGAGCATTGACCCACGCACCACGGGGTCACCAGTTCGATTCCTGGTCAGGGCACATGCCCAGGTTGTGGGCCCAATCCCCAGTGCGGGGCATGCAGTTCTCTCTCATCAATGTTTCTATCTCTCTCTCCTCTGTCAAATCAATAAAGAAAAAAATTTTTTAAAGATATTTAAGAGGTAAAATTGGCCCTGGCCTGTTTGGCTCAGCGGTTATAGCGTCGGCCCCTTGGACCAGAGAGTCCCGGGTTCGGTTCCTGCTAAGGGCACGTACCTCGGTTGCAGTTTGTCCCCGGCCCCGATTGGGGTTGTGTGGGCGACAACCAGTCAATTTGTCTCTCTCACATCAATGTTTCTCTCTCTTCCTCACTCTCTCCCTCCTGCTCTCTCTGAACATAAATGCAAAAATGTCCTCGGGTGAGAATAAAAAAAAAAAAGGTAAAATTGACAGGGGCTGTGATAGGTTGGGTGGGGGGTATGAGAAGAGAGGTGTCAAGGATCCTCCTGGATTTCTGGAATAAACAACTGTATGAATAGCCATACCATTCACTGGAATAGAAAACACTAGAAGAGAACTACTTTTGAGGGGAAGGTCATGAATTTTATTGATCTTAACCTACTTGAATTTTAAGTGGTGCCTTAGATATTCAAATAGGTAGTTAGATACTAGAATCTGGAACTCAGGAGGAAATCTGGGATGAAGATGTAAAATCTTGAAGTCACTGACAGAGACAACTGAAACTTTTGTTTCAGAAGATATAGTCAAGCCCTGGCTGGTTTCTCAGTGGTTAGAGCATTGGCTCACAGACCAGAGAGTCCCGGGTTCAGTTCCTGCTAAGGGCATGCACCTCAGTTGCAGTTTGTCCCCAGCCCAGGTTGGGGTTGTGTGGGTGGCAATCACTCGATATATCTCTCTCACATCGATTTCTCTCTCTCTCTCTCTTCCTCCCTCTCTCCCTCCCACTCTGAAGATAAATGCAAAAAAGAGGTCTTTGTGTGAGGATTAAAAAAAAAAGATATAGTCAAGGGAGAAAGTATAGAGTGAAAGGTAAGACATGGAGGCTTGTCTGTTTGGATTTGAACTCTAGATAAGAGAAAAAGAATTTTCCTTGAGAATTGGGAACTACAGCCTGCCCTGAAAGGTTTAGGAGCTTGAATTTATGCCACTTCCATAATATTGGAATTATTGGGGAAAAATATATTTTAACATGGTCTTAGGCTGTAACATTCCCTAGGAAGGCTGGAAGAAACAAACAAACTCAAAGCTTCTCAGGAGGATACATCTCAGCTCAGACTCACACTGTTCCTACAGATAAAGTCCCCTGAAGATGAGTTCATAATCCCAATTACCAATTCATCATTAATGAGTCAAAATCTAATTGCAGCAGAACCCCTAAATATTTCAAATAATAGAACAGAGACTATAAAACATGTTTAAATAATTAAGTACATGAAAGAATAACAAATATGAGAAAAGAATAAGATATCAAGACAGACCAGAAAGAGCTGAAAAAGAACCAAAGATCTCCTAGAAATTAAAAAAAAAAATTGTTATTGAAATCTAATTCCATAAGTGAGTTAAATAGCCGATCAGACAAACTAAAAAGAATTATGATTTGGAAGATAGAGCTTCCAAAAAATTACCTAAAATGTACCTTAGAGCAATAAAGAAGTGAAAATATAAAAGACAGGTTGGCCCTGGCTGGTTTGGCTCAGTGGTTGGACCGTTGGCCTGCAGTCCAGAGAGACCCGGGTTTGGTTCCCGCTAAGGGCACGTATCTCAGTTGCAGTTTGTCCCCGGCCCTGGTTGGGTCATTCGGGTGGCAACCACTCTATGTGTCCCTTTCATGTTGATGTTTCTCTCTCTCTCTCTTCCTCTCTCTCCCTCCCACTCTATCTGAAAATAATAATAATAAAATTAAAACTCAATACTTATTTTTGAAATAAATAAATAAATAAAAGACAGGTTGTATTTGACGTGGAGGATAGAATTACAGATAGATAGATAGATAGATAGATAGATAGATAGATAGATAGATAATTAGAAATAATTCATATATAACATATATGCTAAGGATTTTTTCTGGGAAAATAAAATAATATAAATAGAATATATTATTTTCAAACTAGTAGAGGGAAATAAGAAAACTATCATTTTTTTTTTAAAGCCAGAAAGGAGTCCAGCCAGTGTAGCTCGGTGGATTGAACATTGTCCCTTGGACTAGAGGTCCCAGTTTGATTCCTGGTCAGGGCATATGCCCAGGTTGCTGGCTCAATCCCTGGTGGGGGGAGTGGAGGAATCAGCTGATGTGTCTCTCTTACATCGATGCTTCTTTCTCTCTCTCCCTTCCTCTCTCTCTAAAAAATCAATAAAAACATTAAAAAAAATAAAAAAACAAGAAAGGAGAAAAAGGAAGCAAAGCAAGGTAAATAGAAAGCACAAATTAGATGACAACAACAATTTCAATATTTCAGTATGCTTAATATATGTTAACATATTAAACTTGCCAGTTAAGAAACAGAAAATATCGCCCTGTCCGGTTTGGCTCAGTGGTTGGAGTGTCGGCCTGTGGATCAGACAGTCCCGGGTTCAGTTCCC